CAACAGGAACAGAAGATAGCAAACCACGTGTATCGGCTCTGTTCACCAAAGGAAACGGGACAAGGCAATGGGCAGCAGCAGCATTACACATTTTTTCTGACATTTTCCTCAGCATGTAGTATCTTCAGAGAGACTGGAAGAGTGCTGATACCGAAGTCCATCCGCTTCCAAGTTGCATCGTTCTGGAGCTGTTCATGGAAGTGTTACTACTACTGTTACTGTTGCGATGCCAGAAGCATAATTTTCAGTTTTTTGTACAAAACGTGACCGCTGCATTGACATGATGACGGCTGTGTCCTCATGGAGGTGTTGCACCGAAACCCAAACCTGGTACTCCCGCGGTCCAGGCTTTCTCAGACCCAGGCTTAGCTACATGCACGATACCCACGCAAGTCAAAGTAATGATGCAGAGACCACCAAAACAGTCGACGTTTAGAGCGGATACAATCTCTAGAGCCGCAATGAAGCTTACAACGGATGCATTTCTATAGGTCATGTAGGTTTATGAAATGTCTGTCTGGAGGCCCAAAGACCATCACTTAGAGGCGGCACACAACCCACGATCTCCTCAAACCGAAGCCCCGAAGCCCTAGTTCAAAGCAGAGGACCGGCTCTTTTGACGAAGATTTTTATAGACAGCATAGAGCCGCTGATGGAGCCCATGTACAACCCGTATAGAACGTTGTAGAATGTTTACGATATTTTGGCCAGGAAGCACTGCGAACCTCAACGCCGAAGCCGCCAAACACCTTTCAAGTTGACCGAAAGCCGTGAACCCCAAGAGTCTGACAAACCCTACTCCCCGGGCTTCCATGTTTCGTCCAGGAAGCCGCGACCATCCATCGAGGTCGCTTTAGTTGGCTCTTCGCCGCACTGATGCGAGGAGACCCAGTCGGGTGTGGGTGTTTTGGTGGGTTTGTGTTTAAAGGTTCGTGTAGGGCTTTATCAGGGTTTACGGGGGTTTCGGTATTTTCTGCGTGGGCTCTGCAAGGGTTTTCTTAAGGGCTGAGTGGTTTAAACCTTAAGGTGGTGCAAGGTGTACGACTACAGGGACTATAGGGCTTAGAGGACCGTATCGAGAGCAGAACTGAAGCTGGAATCGAGAAAAGAGAGGGATTGTGCCAGGTGTTCCACTGTTCTAGCCTTCAGGGCTAGGGGATGCCAACGTACTAAGTTTTCGGCTTCTGCTTTCACAACCCTCAGCTTTGACGGCCTAGGACCTAAACCTGAACTTTGAACCGGTCTGAGCTCTGCAAGGCTCGGTAGTTCGAGCTCAGCGCCAGCCTGCGTACTCATCCAACACTGAAGGGGCATTGAGGTTCTTGCTGGCTTGAAGTAGGTCTTGGGGGTATCTATAGCCCTATGACCGTATACCCCTACACTTGAACATGGTGCCCCTGGGGATTAAAATGGGTTTTGTTGGCAGTCTCAGGGTCAGGCAAAAAATCGATGTGCAGAAACTGACGCTAGGGCTAGGGCCGCCCTACGCGGAAGCACTTTTGGAGCTCACGATGACGATTAAGATCCGGGTTGCAGTCTGGGTTTGCCTCGCAGCAGCTTTGTCGAATCCTGGCTTCCGATGGAGGATCGAAGGTCTTTCCCTAAATCCGCCTGACCCCACCTCCCATACAAGGTGGGCAGGATTGGTGCAGAAGAACCATATTGGCTAGAGAATGCCGCCCCAAGCAACTGCAAGTCCCGAGACCACCCTATGGCTATGGGATAGCCTACATTGTTGTCGAGCATGATACCCTGAACCAGAAACCAACTGCACCAAATCGCTGCCGAGGTGTTTCTTCATAGTTGGTGCCTTCGTGTCACTGGTTCTGATGCTGCTTTCCCTGCGGAATGACACTTTTCGCATGATCTCCGAATCGCGGCAGCAGACCATGTTTGACTTTGTGCTGCTCATTGTCGCTTTCCTCATGGCATGTCTGCCCAATCTCGTGTCCACCATTGTCAGTGAGGGTCTTTGGATCGGCCCAACGCTGTTTCGAAACATGTGGTGAGAAGTCAATGTTTGTATGCGCGAATGATGAAAGATAAACGCTTTTGTTCATCCGCAAAAGCATAATAGTAAGTGACGTAAATCGTCGCTCTCCCTCTCTCTCTGTCCCCCTGTCTCTTTCAAATTTTGAAGATAAAAATTTACATATCCGTTTCGCGCTCTCTCTCTCTCTCTCTCGCTCTCTCGCTGCAGGCAAGCCAAGCATGAGATCTCGATCCTTCTTGCCAGGGGTCCATCGCATGCAAGGAAACTGAGAGTCACAAGCACCTTGAGCACTTGGGGTGTCGGCCTTAGGACATACAGGGTTTAGGAAGTAGGACTTCGCATGGCTCGGGTCAGCCAGTACTGATCATGCCATTTTTGCCTTCCCTCGCTGCAGCGTTCGATCCAAACCCTGCACCTCAAGCCTCAGATTCCCGTAGCAATCCTCACGGTTTCGTCGCAAGTCCTACGAAGACCGACGTAGCAGCACCCTCAGGAAGAGGTCTCCTACATCAATGCTCCGAACCCCCCCTGGGAGATGCCTCCTTGGGGCTCCTGCACCGCCTCAAGAGGGCTCTCTCTCTGGCTTTGGGTGTAAGATTCAGGTAGTCTCTAAGCCCAAAAGAGCCCAGTGAAATTTCAGCGAGTGCACGCTGTCTGGCTTGCTGTCTAGGGGTTAGTTAGGTTGTTGACGTTCAAAGCCTAGGCCTGAAGGTGTCAGGTTTCAGGTGTTGCGGCTTCAAGCAAGGAAGGTGGATGGTTATAACTATATTTTGATTCGTTGGTTTTTCCTCTGTTTGCCGATTAGGGTGTCGGGTTGAGGATCCTGACCGTCTTAGAGGGTCTTCTCCTGGGTCTGCCGCGACGCCTCGCTTGATCGGTCATTGCCCGTTTAGACAGTGTACAACCATCCTCCAGCATGGGCCACGTATGTGAGATGATGTGCTCAGACGTCGATATCACTCTAGAGCCAGCAAGATGTGGAGTGGCCAGCTCAGGCCGTGGGGATCCACACCCCCACAGAACCTCATTTCCAAGCAATTAGTCTTGCGCCTGTCGTAGCTTGTGGCTCTGGTTGAGCGCCGGTAGGTCCCCAATCAAAATCAGAGGTAACGTAGTTTTTTTTAGCACTGGGTGTGCAGGGAGCCACGGCGTGCCCTAGGCGACCTAGGCACGACTGTGCACATCCTGAGCTGGCCCGAGGTTATGTGAAGCAGCCCAACGATGCGCCAGAGCGGAAGATCGGTGAGAGACTCGACGGTCAATAGTCAACGGACCTTTGTTCTATAGGCTTCATCCCCGCACTTGTTGCGCAGATGCGGCAGAATTCGCATGAGCTCCAGAAGCCCCCACAAGGCAGCAGACCAGGCGAGGATTCAGAAACACCTGGGCTTCACAACACATGCTCGACTCCCATTGAAGGCATTAACACCCACACCCACAGACACCTTAAAGCCCGAGCAGAAACACACAAAATCCGCTTGTGCACCCCAGTCCACAGCAATTCCCAGGAGGTTCCGCTACGCTATGCCGCAGCTCATGCTGTTCTACTCCCTGCCGCTTGATGTCTTAGTCCCTTCAGTGTTCAGGGCTTTAGGAATACATACGCTACGCACAGGTAAATTGCAGATTCAGTCCACGGACCCAAACCGTAAACCTGAGCTTTAACGGCGAAAGGTCCAGCAACTCAAACCTAATTGCCTCAGCAGAGCACCTTTGTTGGGAAGAGTCATTCAAAGTCGGGTACTGTTATGCCCTCTCAGCCCGAAGCCCTACAATTCACAACTTCTTCAAGCGCAGGCTTTGTGGCTGCTTTGGGCTCTTCACCGCAGCTCGGCCACGGTTGTTTTGGCAACCGGTCTTGCACCTTCTGAAGGCTTTCGGGATCCCACGAATGGTGCAAGCTTTCAGGCAAACTTGTACCGACATTACGGGGACACTCGAGCCGATTGCGGGAAGATCGAGGCTAGATTGCTCAACTGGTTACTATTAAGAGTCTGGAGAGGTAATAAATGTACTGTAACATCCCTGGACGAAGCTGCAAGGAAACAAGTGCGCACGGGTCTGAAACGATGGTGTTCGCATCGATGCTGAGAGCTGTGTCCAGAGCGTAAAAACATGGAGTCAAAGGTGCATGGTAGATCGAGCAAGACGGAGTCTTGACAAAAACTAACACGCGAGAGGGCTCATGCCTCTGGCTGTAGGGCATGAGTCTATGCTCAGACAATGAGACTGCGGAGGAAGCCCAACTTACAAGCCGATGTGCCGGATCAATGAACCCGACACAAAGTGAGGCTGAGAACTTCCAGCCAGCATTCAAGGCAATGGGCAAGTCCCGAGCTACCAGGTTTGCCAGCCAAAGCAGGCCTAAACATCAGCAACAGTTTGCTCATGCCATGTTCGTCAGCGCTGGCTTTGTTGCCGTTTGTGGGCTCCCTGGGAAAAGTTGAGTCACAGGCACCTTCCAGAAACCGAGATGATACTGTCACCAGATCATACGACCCCCCACTGCAAACGCAGATTTGCCACGGACCGGCCGAAACCAATTTATACATCTGCACCTCCGAGCAGGTGTGGTCCATGTTCGTACGGAACGCATATGTACAGTCGACCAGCAGAACGACCGGAAGAAGCATGCAACCAAAAGAACTCACCTCTTTGCCCTTGACCGGCAAGACCAACATTTGAGTTTCAAAGTTTGTAATGCCATGCCCACAGCAAGGCCCAAAGCCAACACTCAACAAGGGCATGGACAAGGTCCACAGTCGACACTCAACAAGGGCAGGGAGCCAATACCCTCTATCCTGGCTTTTGATCGGCACGGCGGGATAATGTAGGCTTGAACCCTACTGAAGCGTCAACCCCTAATCTGCAGCCTATGGCATGTTGAAAGTTTGGTAAAGCCTGAAGACACCTTAGGGGTCCTTACAGGAAGCATCCTATCATGTAGTCCCTTATTCCCTGAAACTCCTTTGTAAGGTCAAGAAACCCCAACAGTCCCGCACTCCAGGTTGCCTACTTCTGCTCGGAGCTTCTTGTACAGGATGTCGGTGCCTTGCTGCTATCGGGTTCAGATGTTTTTGGTTTAGTGTAGTGTGGTCGGGTGAGGGATTTCAGGTGTTGGGTTCGCAGGGGCTCATGTTTGCAGCTTTCTTTGTAGATCTGCTAGATTCGAAGCTTCGGGATGAAGGAAGAACGACGAGCCCTCGTTCCTCTAAGGAAACCAACTTGAACCATGAACCCCAGACGAAGGTTGTGGAACATTGCGGGCATGGAGTAGTTAGGGGACCACCGCAGGATACCCACAACCCTAAAAGCCGCCGATCGTTCAGGCTCGGAGACGGTCATGCAGATGGGCGAGCTGGTAAAGAAGGGTGTGGATGTGCATCTTGGACGAAAGACTGCCCACATGTGGGGTAGGGTTCATATTATGGTGCTGGCAAGAGCCTAGTGGGGTCCTTCAGCGTTCTACTAGGAATGCGTAAGCACACTACTTCATACTACACACACTGTCACACACTGGGCTTGAAAGATGATTTTCCGGAAGGGGCCTCGCAGATGTGCAAGTGATTTAGGCGGAGTGCCCCCCCCCCCCCGCCCCCATTCAACAACACACACACACACACGCGCACATGCAATTATGTACACATAGACAAAAAATAACCAAAAATATG